TGGGGGGTTAGGGGCTGCAGCGAGGAATGTTCCAATGGGAGCGCAGAGCTCGTACAGCCCTGGCCCGGCCCACCCAGCCCTTCACTCCCTCCTTGTTTACTGAGCAGGAAGAGACCCAGGACAGAAACGAGCTACATACTGATGGATGTGAGGTTTCTTAAATGCTCCACAAATCAAAGCAAAAGCTGAAATTGTCCTGTCCCGGCCCTAACCAAACTGTTCCAGGCTTCCCTCCTCACCTGGGAAGATTGGCTTCCTCAGCCCCAGTTATCGCTCAGCTGGGATCCGCATAGAGATGGAGGACAAAGGCGCATTCCGCGCCTTTAGCTCCCACCAACGCAGGGTCACCAGGACCTGGAGCCTGCCGGCCTTCGGCACAGCCAGAGACCTAACTGAGCTAATCAAGGTGTGAAAGGCAAACCCCACCCCTACAACCTACCACATCTCTCAACGGGTGACTAGACTTCCTTTTTTATTACTAGACGGTGTCTGCCCTCCACAGCTCCAGAGCTCCCTCCGTCTTCCTCCATCGCCTCCCCTCTCCTTTCCACCTCGAGTCATCTGCTTTTCCAGGGCTAGCATACCCTTTCCCCCTACTGTCTAGAATCCGTGCCTCCTTTTCACCTGGGACCTGACTCCATGGAGCATCCCTCATCTCTCCCTCCAGTCTTTCTCTCTTCAAATCTCTTATTCTCTTGCACCATGCCCCCAGCCACCCCTCCGGGCAATCACAGGTCAAGTCCTGACAATTCTATCACACAATGATCATCTGCTCCCCTCTGTCGCTAGGGTGCCTCCCCAAAATGATCCTGAAATGCCTTCCCTGGCATCCAGGTATACAGGTACATGGGGGCAGAGGCCTCATTTTGAATCTCTGGCCCATCGGAAATTCTTAATCAACACTTGGTCAACTGAGCCAGCACTGATGTTGCATCTACCATGTAACAGCCACTGTCTTAGACACTAAGAATATAACCCCAATTATGCCCCCTCCCCTCAAGAGGCTTACAATCTACCTCCTAGGCTAACACTAAGTCATGATGCTGAAATCTCTTCTCTGCCCCCTGCCTCCTGTCTGTCTGTCTTCCACATGAGCTCACAGCCTCAGGAATAGGCCCAAAGCACAGGCTGCTCTTCCACCTCCAGGAGCTCCTAGGGCACAGCAAACTCAAGAGCTTGGGCTCAAGTCTCCTCAGACACAGGAGCATTCCAGGCTCCCTGGCAAGATGCTCCAGCCTGACCTTTCTGGACTCACTTCCCACCCCTCCCTTCAGTCACTGACTGTTCCCCAGTCTCACTTAGCCCTCTCCACCTCTGGGGGCTTTTTCATGGTTCCCCCTGTGGAACGGTCTCTCCATCCACACCTCACCCCTCCTCCCATCCACACCTCACTCCTCCTGCTGCTGCTGCACCTTCTGCCTCCCCTGTCCCTGAACGAGGCTCACCCCAGAAGTGCCAGAGACCCCTTGTTTCCAGCTTGTCCCAATGAACCATAGCACCCTACTGTGCATAGAAGGTAAGAGAAGAATCAGAAAGTGCATCCGTCTGAGAGTCTGCACCTCCCTTCCCTCGTTCCCTCTCTTTCTGTTCTCTTCTGCTCCACAAACAGCTGATCGACACATGCTGGAAATGATTCTACATTCCACGACCTTGGCCTTGGGGGGAGTCACTTGGCCAGTAGTTTTAGCATTATGTAGGAAAGGAGCTCAGTAAAAATCAATGGGGATGAAGATGAGGATGATGGTAATAATATTAGTCCTCAGTTATACAGACCTTCAGCATTTTCCAAAGAGAGGGAACAGAAAATGGTACATACCAGCTGTGTATGAAACACAATTTTCTAAGACTGAAAGTGGTGAAAGGGCTACAGACCGACATTGGTAAAAACGTGTCTCACCAAGGGTTGCCTTCACTGACGAAATCACAGGCCTGGACCTCCTGTTCCCCACCCTTCAAATATATGCCTGCAAGTATACGTGCATACATGCACATATGTGTGTAAACATGTATACATACATAACACATGATCTCATTTGTTTCTTACAACAAACCACCAAAAAGAGGTGCTGTGATTATCTCCATTTTACAAGTAAAGAAACTGAGTCTCAGGCTCAGGCAACTGATGGCACAGTGGATAGAGTGTCGGGTCTGGAGTCAAGAAGACCTGAGTTCAAATCCAGCCTCAGATACTTACTGGTTGTGTGAACCTGGACAAGTCACTTCACCACTACCTGCCTCAGTTTCCTCATCTGTAAAATGGGGATAATAACAGCACCTCCCTCTAAGAGTTGTTGTGAGGCTCTAATGAGATAGTAATGATAAAGCGCTCAGCACAGTGCCTGGCACATAGTAGGTGCTATATAATTGTTAGCTATAATATTGTCATCACCATCATAATCATCATGTGACTAACCCAGGGTCACACAGCTAGAAAGTGACATAGCCAGGATCCCAACAAGTGTGACACTGCTTCCCTCAAAATATTCCCCCAGGATTTGTGGAAGGGCTAAAATCCATTCCTCTGTCTTCATGGACAGCAAGCAAAGTGCCCCACCCCCACCATATTACAGAAGAGGAGACTGAGGGTTCACAGAGGCCAGTGGCATGCCCAAGAATGCATTAGCAGAACTGGGCTCTGCCCCAACGGTGGCAGGCACCCAGCACCGCTCACTCGACCACACTGCCTTCCCCCCCATCAGCTGCTGCACCATTCTGAAAACCACTGGACAAACAGCCCTGTTGCTTCCCAAACTGTCTAATCTCAACTACAAGGAAATCACCTTTCTGCACATGAACTGAACCCAGGCAAGCTGCATCTTCTCTGTGTTCGAGAGTCATCGAGGATGGCCAGCCCCCCCCACTGCAGAACCGAGTCGCCCCTTTCAGCTTCTTCCCTCCAGGCTAAAGAATCTGGACTCCTTTTCCCTCTCCTTAATAGCGTCTTCTTTTTTACATGAAAAGATATTAATGCAAGCAAATGACAAGCCCCTAAGTGCCCACCGTGTGCCAGGCCCCTCCCCCACAGTGGCCTTCAAGGAGTTTCCAGATTCCTTCAGTAAGTAACTGAGGGGCCTCAGAGACCCCCACCGAGGATACTGGAGAGTCAGGGCGAGCCTCTGGGTCTGAGCAATTTCAGCAGCAGCAGCTGCAGCAGCAAAACAACATTCAGATAGCCCTTTACAAATGCTATGTCATCATAACAACCCTGGGAGGGGTTGTTTTTAGTGCCCATCTTACAGATGAGGAAACTGAGGCAGAGAGAGGTGACAATAACTCACCTGGGATCACACCACTAGTAAGTGTCCAAGGCTGGATTTGAACCCAGGTCTTTCTGACTCCAGGCTCAGCACTCTGCTCAGAAAACTGCTCTGGCTAGATGAAGGATTTTTTTTCCCCAAAAAACAACCGAACATACGGCTATTGCTCTAAGGTGTAAACATGAAATATTTTCCAAGTCAAAAAGACTCTAAAAATATTTTAAATGTTTTGTTGTGAAAAAAGAAAAACTGAAAAGTAGCTCTACCTTGCCTGGCAATTGCGACTAAGCCCCAGGCTTCACTAATTAGGCACAGTGGGTAGAGATCAGCCTCAGGGCTGAAAGTTCTGGGTTCAAGTCCTGCCCTCTGAACACTCTAGCTGTGTGGCCCTGAGCAAGCCCTGTGACCTCTGAGGGCCTTCCAGGCAATTCTCTACAAATGGACTTGATAGAAGGGTGGCGGATTGGAGCTAGGAAGGAGTTTCCTCACGTAGGACTTCCCCTGAGTCCAGGTCCTAGCCCCTGCAGGACAGCATTATAATAAACGAAGCCAACAGAATATAAGGCAACAGAAAGGAATGATTCATTAGAGCAAAGAGGTGGCAAAAATGCCATGAGGAGAGTGCTGGACTGAACTCCGGAAGGTCTGGATTCAAATCTTGCTTCGGCTACTTGCTACTGAGTAACCCAGGCAAGTCACTGAACTCCAAGCCTCAGTTTACCCATCTGTAAAATGGAGGTGACATTTGTAACATCTGCTTCACTCTTGGGATCCTCAATGGTGATGAGGTACACCAAGAAGCCAGGACCCTGAAGCAGTCTAGAAGAGCCCCTTACCATCGACAGCACAAAAGACAAGGTGGCTCACTTCCCCATTTCTTCATCAGCATAACGCAGATAATGAGTTTGATTTCCTTGGGAAAGTCACAGACCTGGACCTGTGCTGACTGGCAAAGGGGAGATCTTAGACCCCTTAGACAGAAGAGGAAGCCTCCCCCACCCCTCCTGCTAGAGGGTCAGACACGGCTCCTCCTCCATGGGCCATGGAAAGGACCATGCCTGGGCAGCTGGAAGGGGGCTTAGTTCCCTTCCTTCCTTCCAGGCATCTTTTCTTGTCTTTCACTGAGGTGCCCATGAAAGCACTAGGGTGAGAGGCTGGGGGCGTGAGGGGCACACCAATCTCTTCCCAAACTACCAATAGGCAATGTGATGCCAGGGCTTGTAGTCAGATCTCCCCTCCCCCAACTCATCAGTTCTCGAATAATAATCATATCAAGGCTACTTAAAGTCATTTCATTGGGCCATTCACCATCTTGTAACTCTCCAAACAAAAATACCAACTCTCCTATTAGAATGCAAACTCCCTAAGGGCAGGGCCTGTCTTTGCTCTCTTCTCCGTACCCCTAGAACTTAGCAGATGCTTGGCACATAGTATGTGCTTAGTAAATGATTTTTAATTCATTGCCTGGAAGACCTGACTTCATAGCAGGCTCTCCACTTCCAAGGCCCACCCTCCCCGGACCTCCATTCGCTCACTTGAAAACTGCAAGTTTCTAAGGTCTCTCGAGCGAGCTCGAGTAACAAACAGTAGCAGCTGCCTCGGACATTTCTATAGCTCTTTAAGTTTTACAAAGCACTTCACAAATATTTTCTCATGCGAGCCTACAAATCAATGATCCTCGGAATTCTGGCTTGAGTGGTACAGTGGTGGGTGGGGAATGGGTGAGGGAGGAACCATTCTTGCCAACACTCAATGCTCCTTGGCTTTGCCACAGGATGTGACGCATAACTGAAAAGTACTCAGCACTCCCGGGTGCCACGTGCCCATCGTCTTGGGAAACTCCCACTAGTGGCCCAGCTGACCCTGTTCGGATACACAAAAAAAAAGGCTTTCTGTGATCTCTTTCCCAAACAAGATATTTATTGGTACTAGCGCTCTGTTCGTTGCTGCTTTCAAATAATACCTTACTCCAGGTCCCTGACAGGCGCCATATTAGTAAAGGAAACCAGCCACTGGCGAAGGAGGGGCCAGGCCCAGGAAAGGAGCACAAAGCTGACAGCCAGAAGCCGGTCACGTGCTGTCTCATGTCAACTCCAACACACAGAGCTTGGGGTGAAAAATAAAGTTTCAAACAGCTGCTGAGTCCCTGAGTCGGGGACTGAGAGTAAGAGACTCAGAAAAATTCGTACAAAAACCAAAGTCCCTGAAGCAGGTGGCACTGAGGTCATTAATAGAAATAGGGCTAGATGTTCATTAGTGACTGTAATAGAATACTGGCATTGCCATTCGAGGACCCCAAAGACCTCCTGCCCACATTGGGCAACATTCTGTCTCTTCCCTGGAGCCACGGCTACAGTCTCTCTTCCCCTCACTGGGTGCTCTACTGAGTACCCGACAGCCTGCCTGGGTGTGGGCACATCCCTGACCCTCTGTCTCACCACTTGCAGCAGCAGATGCCCATGGGAAGGCAGGACGCTTGCCAAGCAGCCAAACTTGACCACTGGGCAGTGCAGGGGTGCCCTCATCCCAGCAGCCCTCTGCTGTGGCACCCCACCAAACAAAATCACCATCAAACTGGGGTGAGGAAAGACCTGGCAAAACATATGAGTAAACAGGAGGAAAATGGGGACCGACCACAAAAGCAAAGGAAAGAGAGAAGAAGAAGAAACGGGGGGAGGAAGCACACAAGAGATGAGTCACACCGTACTTACAACTTTCAGCCTGATAGTCTGGGACAAACTGCTCATCATTGTCAGGTACCTGAGCTGAAGAAAGAAAAAAAAAAGAAAAGAAAAGAAAAAAAATGAGCCAAACAACCAAAGCATAATGGAGAAATAAGGTCAGCGGGGGTGGGGGAAGGGCAGGGAAGCCTAGCTATGGGCAGCTGCTGACGTCTTGGCGCTGCCACCCTCGGGGGGCATGACAGGGTCAGACCCAAGGAGGGGACCCTGGACCAGCCCAGAATCCTAGAGACCACTGGCCAGGCTCAGAACTCAGAGGGACACACCCTCACCCACCCTGCGGATGTACATCCCCAGGGCTTGGGATCCCACCCTCGGGGCTAGCTGCCTCTTGGGTGAAGCTAGCTGTCAGGAGTACAGCTCACCGCCCAGATGTTGCTGGCCCACAGGTGCTCCAAGGCTGATTCCAACATGAAATAAAAAGCCCCTTCTGTCTACAGGACACCAACAACTGCATCCTTTCACCAAAGTCTCTTCTGCCCACACCCCACCAGGCTATAACAGAAATGCCTAGGCAGTCTGTCTGGGTTCAAATTCTGTCCATGCAGGTGGGAAGGGGAGGAGGAATGCTGGGGATTATGGATTTGTCAATAATAATAATAACAACAAATAATAACTAAGACTTTATATAGTCAGACACTGGGCTGAGCGCTCTACACATATGATCTCATTGGCTCCGGGCCCTAAATCTTCCCAGACATCCATCAAAATCCAAGCCGTTGCTCTCCCTGCCCTGGATGTGCTTCAGCACTGCCACGGAAAGCCATAGTAAGCTACAATCCCTCAAAGAGAGGAGACTCGTTTCCCTATGGCCTCCACCTCCCACCAGAGGCCAAGAAGTTTCACAAAACAAAATGCCCATAGGCCTTTCGGGGAGTCACTGCCCAGACCTCTTCTGGATCGACTGTGCCTCCACCAAGATCTGGTTTCAAGGTGAAATAACAATTATCACTCCCCCCAGCACACCCCAGGCCATCTTGTCCTTGCAAACATGTCAAGAAGTCAAAGGCCCCCCATCCCTACCCTATCCCCACTGCTGTCTTCCCAGAAGACACCCCAGACAGGAAAGCCTACGTGATCTTTGCCGTCTCCTGTGCATGGACCCGACTCTCTAATTTGCTTTGCTTTCCTAGGCCTAAGAATTGGGCCCCAGGCCTTAGTTCAAGTGATTTTTGCTTACCTGTGCTTTTACTGAAAATGGGCTTGTTCCCATGGCCAGACCATGGGAATATGACGAGACCTTGTCATAATTTCCCCATGTTTGGCAAGCTAGACTTGAAATCAGGAAGAGCTGGGTCCAAACTCAGTGCAAAAACTTACTAGCCACGTAACCATGGGCAAATCACCGAGGATGAGGGGTTTGGACTAGATGGGGGACAGATAAGGCATTTAATAGGCATTTCCCATGTGCTAAGTGCTGAGGAGGGAAATAAAAGCAAACAGGCCAACCCCTTCCCTCAAAGAGCTTCCATTCCAACGGGGAAAGATAACAGATAATGGAGATCTGGAAAGTAGGGTCAGGGGCCTGGAAAGAGTGCCCAGAAAGGTGCAGAGCTGTTGGCAAAGAGGCGGCCATGTCCAGAAGAATGAGATTAGTTAAGAGTAAAATGATCAGAAAATGGTGGTCTGGTCTAGGCACTGGACGATCAAGAGGGCAGACCTTAGAATGGCGCCATCTCCAAGGTGGAAAGGCTGATGGGGAAGCATTGGAGGAGTCCCAAGAGTGAAGCGTTCCAGGAGCGGCCTGGAAGGTCCCTTTCAACTCTGGATCTGCCATCCTCAACAGTCTTTCTGCTTACAGGAGAAGGAAAGGATACCTGGAGACTCCTGCCACTTCCTAACACATAGATCCACTTAATGATTAATCTGGCCTTCTACCATCTCAGATTCAGATTTGTCCAAGACAGCTCCTTCCCATAAAGCACTTCTCTATTCGCCACCTGTATCCTTGCCCAATTAAACAACTCGTCCAGAGAGTTTATGCTTTTCCCTCCTCTGCCCAATCTGAGAATGTCTACACCCAACAAAGCCAAGGTCATCTCCTCCTGAATTATTCTTGAAAGTAAGGGCTGTCATTCCAATTTAGCATCATCCTCCGAGCTCCTCAGAATATTTCAAAACTAGAAAGCAGGAAGACTCCCGTCAACCGGAGACCAGCTCAACAATCCATGGTACAGAAATGTGGCCGACTGTGAATTACTGAGCTGGGAGAAATGGCCGATGGGACAAATACAGGGAAATACCACAACAAGAATAGTGTGAACAATAACAACAACCCTGCCCCCTTGCCCCGCCAAAACAAATCAAACCCGATGCTGCAAAATCATAAAGAGCAAGCCCCGCTGGACAGGAGTCACGGAAGGTGCCGCTGCTCTGCTGAGGTGGGGGTCTACAGGGTCTGTACATCGACTGAATGTATTTTCAGACTTTTTCAATGTATTGATCAATTCTACTGATTTTTTTCCTCGTCTTTTTCTGCCTTTAAAAAATATTACTTGTGATATGGGATGGCCCTCCAGGAGGGAGAGGAGAAAGGAGGAACATGGTAATATTAAAAAAATACATCAATAAAACCTGAGTTTAAAATGTGTTGATTTTTTCCCATTAGTTAGATTTATGAATTATGAATGGGGCTTTAAAAAATCACACCCCAAACATAAGTTTATTTTAATAACAATTTAGCAACACCTCATAAAGCAGAGTCAAGTGGCAACTATATTTTTCTCCATCATCCTGAGTCTCAGACCACCTCTGATGAGGAGTAAAAAAGGGGGAAGAAAGTCATCTGCTGCACTCCACCCCCAGCCATGCTTTATAAGAGACGGCATTTATAGGAACCTGGTACACATGCAACATTCCTCTACCAGAAGAGTTAGGAATGACCTGTGAGTAATAGATTGAGAAGTCTCATATGGGGGACTGCCTGCGTTGGTATGTACCAACAAAAAGAATCTCCCGGCCAGTCTTCACCATCCTTGGTGTGACATCTGCAACATTGCACACAAAGTATTGGAACATTGGTGCGTGGGTATGCTGGGGGACGGGGCAGGCATGTACACGTGAGCCAGAGAAGAGGTGTGTGAAAGAATGACAGAAATTAGGGACCCAGGGGGAAAAATCGAGTCTAAGCCTTGAATTCTATCCTCCCATTCAAGTTCTCAGATAATAGCTGCTTACGCACAGTTTGTAAAAGGAGTAAGGAGAATTGATGGTGGCGTACAAACTCTTTTTTTGAAGATACCAAATAAATAGGCCTCACACTTACGCCTGAGCACATCACAGAAATCTAACAAAAAACATATGACTCACATTTTCACAGGAGCTAATCTTAAGAAAGTGAATAGAGCAAGGGAACCAGCATTCTCCTGAAATAGACAAGGGCTGTTGTGTTTGTGTGTGTGTGTGTGTGTGTGTGTGTGTGTGTGTCTGTCTGTCTGTCTGTCTGTCTGTCTCCAGTTCTAATGGGATTAGAAGGAAGCAGTTAACCAAAAACCATAACTTGGATCCAAGCAAGGAAAATCTGATAAGTCTCAGGGCAAGAAAGCACGAACTTCCTTCCCATTCTCCAGTAGGGCCCAGACTTCGCTATTAGGCCAGGTCCAAAATGAAGCTTTCTTAGGCTAAGTCCAATGAGACCAGTAAGATCTGGAAACTGAACCAGGCAGGGCAGCATCAGGGAATGGACGCCAGACGGTCCTCGCTATCAGCCAATGGGAAACGTTCTCACAACGATCCCATGGAAGATGAAAATGTTTCCCCTCGTGTCTTAATTATGGGGAGAAGAGGAAGGGAAGGCAAAGGGGGAAAAGACAGACCAAAAGACCAATAAAAGGCTTTCAAGGAGATGGAGCCTGTGGATTTTATTGGCAATAGCCTGGCAGCTCTATTAGTACATTCCACATTAAGAGACAAATAGCCACCCAGTCTCAGAAGCTCTTCCTCAAAATGATCAGAATTTGCACTCTCAGCTATTTGCTTCAGCCTCAATGATTATTACCAAAAGCCAACACCTTACCCCCCCTTTCAGCACTATATGGGGGTGGAGGAAGGCACAACACACAGAAATATTAATTAGAATTTGCATACCACAGGAGCAGCAGCAAACCCTTCTTTCTGTAGTAATGCTTTTTTAATTAATGTCCTCTTGCAAAAAGAAAAAAAAAGAAAAAACCAACAGTTATGTGAAGCATGATCTATCTGTTTCCAAATGGAATAGAAATTAGTGCTTAAGAAAAAGTTGGCATTTAAGTATCTTACACAATCAGCTGTTTATTGAAAAAGAGTAAGAGCCTGGTTTTCTTTTTGAAATAGGAACCCATGGGCTGTTTTTTTTTCTTTTTTTGGGAGGGAGGGGAAGGGGCACAATCCCCAAACCTCAGAGCCCACGGCCGTGCCCCACCAGTGCCAGTAGTAAAGGGGTTAATGTTTAATTAAAACCAGCTCCAAGCAGTGAAACAATGACCCGGAGCCAAACGAGGCAGAAGATGTATGAGTCATTCTTTCTGCTAGTGAATGAGACAGCTGATCTCCCAACCATTCCTCAAGACAAGCAGTCAGGACTGGAGGCCGGTCTCCATTCACAAAAACCCAGCCAGGCCAGGCTGAGCCATGTGGGCCAGCCGCAAGCGTCTCCTGTCACACCCTGCCAGAGCGCTGCAGTCAGGAAACTTGAACTCTGGGCAGTATAAACACCCAAGGCTTACGGCTTTTGTCTCCCCACGGAGCCCAGGCCCAGCCCAGGAGGCAGCCTGTCTGAGAAAAAGGGAGCAGGAGGAAAACCCGGAGGCTTAACCCCTTCTGGACAGAGCCAATTGCCCCCAGGAGGCCAGATTCCCAGAGGCCCCTGTGGCCAGGAGGTTTGCCTGCCCAGTGGGTAAGCGGCCTCCTCCACAGCTGAAACAATGTGACTCTGTACGAGTTAGGTTAGAAGACGGCAGGCTGGTGGAGAAACTTTGCTCCATAAACTCCGTCATGAAACCCAAGAACAATCATTCCCCCCACCCCCACCCCAGCCCACAGAGCAGGGCTTTGGCTAATCCCCAAATCAAGCTTTGGGCCATGGAACAAAATCATCATGAGTCCACTAAGCCTGGTTCAAGGCTACATCCGCTGGTAACACACAAAACACAAGCATTAATTAATGCTCTAGCATAAACACGGGAAGGAGACAAAAGGGAAGCACTTCCCCCACTGCAGAAGCTCCTTAAACACATCCCTACTTTCTACGCCCAGCCTTCTTCAGTTTCAAAACAGCCTCCACTCTCATCTTCGAGCTGATCTGCTGTGACTTGTAAAGGCGATGAAGGCTTAAATTGAAAGAAGACCCAGAGATCTCTTCCTTTCTTCTCTTCCTCCTCACGCCCTCTCCCACTTTCAAAAACTCTGTTAGGTTTTTCTGACCCTAGTAAAAGGTTGCCAGACTTTATCTACCTCCTTATTAAAGAGCACCAAAAAAAAAAAAGACAAATTATCTCATTCTTGTCAATGGCCCACTGGGAGGATCAATGTCCAGCGGCCTTGAACCTGGATGGGTTTCCAAGACTTCCCCAGGTCTGGTTTAATTCCCTCTATTTTTGTGGCAGTATCTCATTCCCAGGAAGCAGCCTGCTGGGATGCTCCTAAGGCCCTGGAGCTAGAAGGCAAGTCCTCTCCCAGGCTAGCCTAACCCAGCAATTTCCTGACTTGCCTGATGCCCAAATGGAAAATGTCTCCACGAGTCCAAGAGTGTCTCTGAATTCTAGAAACTCTCCCCTGAAAGTGAAACTTCTTTTGTTCCATGCCGAGGAATCACAGTCACACGGGTATTCGGGTATTTGTTCTCTTAACTATACAAACTGCTAGGGTTTTTTTTGAATTGTAAAGCACTTCTTTCTTACTGTGACGTGCATTAACAACACACACTCATCAACCCGATGCTTGGTTTGACTGAAATTTCGATGGTGTCATTTTGAACCCCATGTAAATCGAGAGGTACGCCATCTTTGGACATGCATGCATTACACGTCAAGAGTATACAGAATTTTTGTTGTTTGAATATCACCAAATCATTTCTCGATACAAGTTGAGAAACACGGATGAAGCACCAGAATGTTCAAGGCCACCCTGACTTATTTAGTGAAGGGGCAAGTAAAAAAAAAAAACTGTAAAATCTCCCCAAGCCCTGCCCCGGGGCCCTCCTTTGCAAGGGAGTTGCCCTTAGTAAGGCCAGAGGAGTTAAAGAAAAGTTATGGTGCCTGATGGGCGAGAAAACTCCCCTTGGGAAAGAATTCCACCAGTTACTTGAGAGTCACCTCCCTAAGTGTCAGTGGGCTGTACTTCAGGGTGTTTAAAAGTCCTTTGTTTTCCTCTTCACTTGGACCTCAGGTGATGAAATTTGTAAACAAATTTCTAGTGAATGCCTTACTCTGTTCAAACCCTGTCGGTCATGTTTCCTCCTGTCCCTGCCCCCTGCACAACGCTCGATCCCCGCACATTCGCCTGGCGGCAGTAATAACACGGGCAAGGTCAAGAAGTCAGTTTTTTTCCCACCCTCTAGATCTGTTCCAAAATCAAGGGATTTCACCAAGACAGACTGATAGGACACTGGGTTAATATTTGAACCAATTACCTCAAGTCACTGACTGACTGCCATCTGCCAACAGCAATCTAATATCAAAATACACACAATCAATAAAAGCATTTTGCATATGAAAATGCCAAGAGGAAGCAGCAGTGGCATAAACAGAACATAGGTACATGGCAGAGGGGGTTAGAATCATTGTCATCTGCCTCTTGACAACGAAGAACCCATCTTCTTCTTCAGGACTGGACAAGACCTGTTATCAATCTGCCATCCGGAGATTTTGACCACAAGACTTTTCAGTGTTTCGGATCATGGAAGTAGTAGCAGCCTAAAATTACCCTACCCTGAAATGTTTTGAGTCTGATTACTTAAAAAGAGGAAGTGAATTTTCATAAAATCTCCATGGGTTTGAAATTTTCTCCCTACCTTTAAACAATGTATAGTTATTTGCTTAAATCCCCCCCCATATTAACCATATAGTTAGTAAACCATTTTAATGACCACAATGACCAATTAATAAACAGACTGTGCTCTGCATTTCACTTATAAAAATTCTTACAGGAAATAGCAAATAAAAGTTTTTGAGGCTAAAGAACGCAGAAGGCTTCAGAGGGCTTTCTTTCACTTATGCTTTTTGGTCAGTCATTCTTTATGAATTTGCTGCAGATATATGCTTAATAAATAGATTTTCTAACCTGATAACTACCCCCACAGTGTTCTCCGCTTGAGGGAGAAGCCTGTTTGGTTGCCAAAGATCTTTATATTTTGTTTCGTTTTGTTTTGCTTTTTTAAAGAAGGTCAAGATGGCTCAAGACTTTCTTGGTCACTTTCCTGGATACAGAGTATCATGAAAAGAAATATGTAAACATGAAAAAGTCAGCCAATTTGGCGAGGTCCAGAATGACATAAATGGATAAATCCACCCTTGGATAAACAAGATGAATTTGAAGATCTGTTCTTGGCTAGAACAGTCCAGACAGTCAAGTAAGTGAAGCTAGCGTATGCCATTCTGACACCAGCGTATGGCAAATATGACTGCACACCCACAAACTTGCATTCAACTGTGAGTAGGAAGAAATAACACAAAAGGTGGACCAAATAATCGAACGATGAAGAAACAAATCCTCATTATTAAGAGATAATTAAACCCTTCTTCATCAACTGTTATAGCTTTATTAAGACATGTTAGAAGCAGCAACGCAGTCCACCCAAAAATAAGAGAATGTCCTTATTTTGAAAAAAAGTAAAGCAACACAGGCATTAGGGTCAGGGAGTTTCCAACAACATAGCTAACCTTAAGTACCAGAATGGGAGGATTTCTTTACCAGAGGTCTCCCGGCAATTCATAAAGGTGTTAGGATTCACAGCACAAATATTCATGGTTTCAGAATTAAAATGCTTCTGCATAAAACCCCATTTTATTTCAAAAATAGCAACCATACCCTCAGCCTGGGCTTATAGAGCTGGGTCTTTTTTTTTTTTAATTCCTGGGTAAGAATTTATAGAACCAACTTTAAGAGCATAAGGGAAAACTTGGATGGCTCATTCAAATCACTCATTCATTTAGCCACAGGAAACAAGCTCAAAACTATAAAAATGCACCAAAGCTGATTATATATCTATAAAAATATTTATAAGTCAATTATAGATGCCACATTTTTTAAATTCCAGGAACAGGGTTGCTATGCACACCCAAAAATCTGCCAACAATTATTTTTACTTGGAATCAGTGAGCATTAAACACTGTAAGAAGTAACAAAATGTTCCAACTTAATGAAGAGAATATTCAGTTATAATCCATACAGCAAGAAATTATCTCATAGATTTGATAAGTATTCTGTTACATTTTCAACTTTACAAAACCAGTAGCTAGAGGTCAGTAACAAAATAGGGCAAAAGAGATAAAGCAAAGTCACCTCTGGGTTTATGGGTGATGTATTATAAGAAATTCTATTTTCAGTGACCATCCAAATGACAGCTTCTAAATCCCCATATCCCTTATTAGTGTCTAACCTTCATTAGTGTCTCAACGGAATCCCTTTACTATAAGATGGTGAAGAGAGCTTTAGGGTTACAAACATTTACAAAAATAGCTAAAGCAAATATTCAAGCTTGGAGAATTGAAATGTCAACAAAACAAAGAAACTCACTTTACATGCTTCCAGCAACTTGACCAGGCAGAACTCTCGGGGGAAAAGACCTCTGTCTCAAAGCAGTTTAAAGTAAGAAAGCCTGACCCCCGACTCCCTTAGAAAATCCCATCCAGCCAATGCCACAATTTGCAATAAGATGGGCTTCAGTTGAAAGAACACCGAAACTCTAACTTCTCCCCACAAGTCCTCAAACAAAATCCATTCCGACAGGACAACACCAGCCACTTCTATCTATGCTTTATGCTGACCAGATAAAATGCCAAAGGATTTTTCCCCATCCCCAAAGAAAACAAACACCCTTCAACAGCAGGAACTTCTGCACTTTTACAGAAAGACTATCTCATTGTCCCTATGAAATACAGCCAGCATCACCCGGTGAAGGTGAGATCCCAATGCATCGCAATATTGCTTCACCTAATCAAAATTAAAGAGAAAATGCCTCCGAAAGTCTCCCTGTCTTCCGAGGGGAATTCCAAGAGAGGCACTAGCCAAGCCCCATCCCCATCCAACACTTGCTTGCCTGATGTACAGTAAGGAAGGAGAAGGTAGGTATGGAAAAGCCCGACTCGGCTCCCCCAGGCTTCCTCAGCAAGCCCTTCAGAGCTGAAGCACTTGATACACACCCAAGGCTCTGTGTTGGGCACAAGGTGGGAAGAAGACACTCGCACTCAAATCTTGAAGCATCCCGTCCTGATGAACCCAGAGCCACTAATTTCTGCCATCAGAAAAAGTGCTCCAACAGGACAACGGGGAACTAAGTGTGCGCTGCCTCCGCTTGGCTTCAGAGGAAACAGCCAGCCCCGAGCTGGCTCGATGAGGTCTCCTGAGGTACAATCATATAAACCTGATCAATTGCAATTAAAATCGGAGTCGAGGCTCCGAACTGGAAGTCCTGGTGCATTAGTTCTTGCCCAAAGCAGATGTGACTGGGAGCTGGAAGCAGTTTCTCCTGGTAATTTGTGATGACACAGGCTAGAGCAGCCCCAGAGTCCCCAAAGACAAACTCATCAGAAGCTCTAATGTATGCATGACACATGAGGTGGCTCTTTTAGAGCTCAATTAATTGGTCTGAACATTAAGACAGCAAGTTCAGGACTTTTTTTTTTCCTCTGGAGTTTCATTCCTCCCTCCCCCCCTCCCCAACCTTTTTGCAAGCATTTCCCCCCTTACCTTCTGCAAGCCATGTTTCCTGTAATTGGCTCAGATCTTGAAAGAGTTCTGGAAAAAAAAAAGGTGAAGACATAAAATAATATGGCAACTCAACCTTTAATCTTATCCTTCATGAAATGAAAATGTTATCTGATTTTTTTCTCTGACACACATGTATATTATATATGGAAATACCATTAAGAGAGATCTCTTAGATAGGGGGATCGTTTCTCATTCTGATCATGCCAATACCTGATATTTGCTCTGTGGGGACAGGGGGGCCATGCACTCAAGTAATTAATCCTTGCATAAAAACCAGAATCCTTGAATGTATCCAGCTCATACTCTAGGCACAGACAGACCATCACCAGGGACTGCCCCGGCCAGCCATTCTTTCTTTCTCCCTTGTAATAGACACCTTTCAATCAATCAATCTCTCTCACAGACAATGTGGAGGAAAAATCAGGGCAAAAAATAGAAAAACATTTCATGTATCAATCCTTGTGTCTTCAGAGAGACTTGGCCCTTGCTGTGGTGAGGGGCAGAGAGGTACACCTTTCCTAGAAAGGACTGGTAGGCTAGAGGCTAACTCCGTGTGACAACTAGCTTGGGGAAGAAGCATCATTCCCTGGCATACTGGTCACCATATCTACCAGTTTTGATTCAGCTGTCAGGAGTCTGTCAAGGGACCATAATCAGAAGAAAACTGTTATTTATTTCCAATGTCTATTAAACTTAGGAGCAGAGGAGCATAAACTTGGCTTTTCTCTGAGAATTAAAAAAATCCACAGTAGACTGTGTTCTGAATGGCTACGTGGGTTGATGCAGGAGGGTATTTTGAGAAACTTTGGAACTCAAAATCCTAACTTCAGTCAGCCAAGAATAGCAAACTTTTTGCTAAGTAGCTCTGTCGAGCAAGCCAGCATGAGGGATTTCCTTTGAGGTGATTCACCTGGCTGAAAAGTTTGCATTTCAGTTCATATTCTTAAAAACTACAGGAGAGATACTAAAGGGTTAATATTTAGCCGCTGCCCCCTGGGGGCCCAAGGAAGCTTCTGTGACATCAATTAACATCTATTAAAGACTTAAATAGGGTTTACAACGAACTGAAAGCTCCTAAACCAATCTAATGCCCTAAGAACTTGGTCAGCTTTCAACATTTTATGTATTTTTAAAACTGCATCCAGGTATACATAAAAGGGGGTGGTCTGAGACCCTATGAAGCTGTTCTATCTTAACCATATATTAAGAAATTTCTCCTGAGTGGGCATGAAAACTGTCAACATCTGAATGACCTCTCTCATTGGCTTCTACCACTGAGTTGGACATCTTCAAGTTTTTTCTCCCTTCCTTCACAGTTTTATTGATACACCATATGGGCTGCAATACTTGAAGCACAGCTATGGCTGGGGAGAAGGATGGATGAGTCAGGGAGGGATGGCACATTTAACTCTCCATTTTGCTATTTGATTAATCTCTGACACAACCAGGAAAAAGTACTGAAGTTCAGATTGTCACAATATGCAAAGGGCTCCAAGTAACAAAGTCATATTATTCTGGGCCAAAATAGTGTTTCTTTCTTTTTTTTTTCTTTCTTTTTTCTTTCTTTCTTTCTTTCTTTCTTTCTTTCTTTCTTTCTTTCTTTCTTTCTTTCTTTCTTTCTCTCTCTCTTCTCTCTCTCTCTCTCTCTCTCTCTCTCTCTCTCTCTCTCTCTCTCTCTCTCTAACATACAAACAATTTTGGGGAGGGGTAGGAGGTTTTTGTTTTTCTTAAAAGAAAACAAAAGGACAATACTTTTTTTTTTTGGAGGGGAGATGGGAAATCAGAACAAGACAAAACCTCACCTTCTGAGTCATGAGCCAGGTCTCTGTTAATGAATTTTCTTTTCCTGGCATTTGCTGGTTTCTCATTACAGCTTCTCCCACGCTGACTCTACAAATGGGAAAGATTAAATACTTTAATTTTTTTTTTTGGAACCTCTGATTGTCACATGCAAAAGTCACTTGCAAGCCCGAGGGGGGAAGACAAGTCTACAGGGCCCTCTCCCCCTCTCCTGACAAGGGACACCCTCTGGAGTCCTCCTTTTCTGGATCCAGCTGATAGCCAAAGCCGATGATGGGCTTTCTTTGGGCAGCCGAGCCCTCAAAGACTGAGGCTGCTGCCGCTGCTGCTGCGGCTCTGGCGGCTGCTGTGGCCTGAGGCTGATGCCATCTCACAGCATTTTATCCTGACGCATCTTGATGGAGAGAGATACATATGGAAGGCTCCCTCCCCAGCATCCAGCCAAGGGGAAGACATGCATTTAGCAGTCAGCTGGGCTGGGCTCTACTATATATCCATTTTCCCCTATTTTAAAGGACGGTGAATGCAAGAGAAGTTATTTCATCTCCACCCGCCCCCGTCCCCCCCCCCATACAAACACACGCAAAACAAAAACAAAATCCTGAAAACAGAAAGTGTCAACATTGGTCTCAACTTCATTCTGTTCAATGTGGCAGACAAACCCAGCCAGAAACTTTGACTGCAGCTGCTGCTGCCTTCCTCCTCCTCCTCCTCCTCCTCCTCCTCCTCCTCCTCCTCCTCCTCCTCCTCCTCCTCCTCCTCCTCCTCTTCCTCCTCCTCCTGCTCTCATCGTGTGCACTTTAACTATTCAAAAAGAAGTCTTAAAAATAAAACGATGCCTTATCCCAGTCCCTGGAAGGAGGAACGCTCATTCTGAAGCCTCGGCTCCTACAGGGAGAGTCGCCCTAGAGAGGCAAGCAACGAAGCGATCGAGCAGGGACGAGCCCAGCAACTCCCTCCCGGCGCCCCTCCCCCCCTCCCCGCGTAGCTCTCCCCCCCTCCCGAGGAGAAATAAGTCGGAGTCAAGTTTATAAACAGCCACTTGGGCGCTGCTCACTCACGTTGCTGACCAAGTAAGGCACTTGCTGGTCATAGAAGCCGTCCATCCTGAGGCGGCGGCTGGGGCCGTGGCCGGGCCGGGCCGGGCCGGGCCGGGGCTGCTAAGGCTACGCTGAGCTGCTTAGCAATCTACCTTCCGAGCATAGGGGACTAGGTTTCCTCGCGATCCAAGAGGCTCCCGACCTAGAAAGGGGCGCAAGGCAGCTTTTAGTTTCTGGCAAAGCCAGTGAATGAAAAGCCGGTATTTGCATAGCTAATTACCCGGCTCCAGTCCCATTCACAAAACGCACCCTCCCTGCGCAGCCTCCTTCACCTGGAGCCCCCGCCAGCCCCGCAGCCCTAGCTCGCTACTTTGTAGCAGCCGCGACCCACGGCCAGAGCCGAGACAAAGCGTCCGGGCCGGGCCCTGGGCGCTTCGCTCTGGGGGGGCAGCCCGTAGTCCCTGGGCCGGGGGTCTGGGCGTGCGCCCCCCTCGGCGTGACCAGCCTCGTAATGGCGATCAACAGGAGTTGCTTTGCACCTAACGGGAGGCAGGAGAGGCGGCCCGATCTGGCCACCCCCCTTTGTGGGGGCCGCCTTTGCACCCCCGACCGCACAAGGGGCCTGGAGAGACGCGCAAAGTTGTGGGCGAGACCCACCTGAAGGCCGTGCCAGGCGCTGGTCTGCCAACACTCCCCTCCCAATTTAATCCAAACATGAATCCTTGCCCAGCACCTCCCCCTCGGAAGCCGAGAGCGCCTCTGCCAGAGCTGGCTTTGGCGGTTCTTCCTCCGCTTCTCCTCCAGGGGCCTCCGAGCCAAACTGATGGATCCCTGCCTCCCATTGGCTCTCAGGCTCTTTCACTAGATCAGATTTCGGTCTGTCAATCAGGCGGCGCTCCCAGGCCGGCTCCCCCGTTCTTTTCACGGTTCCGTAGCCCTAGTCCTCTCCCCCGGCCCGGCCCAGGTTCTTCCTGATGCTGGGATCGCGGGATCCTTCGGCGCCCAGGGGAGAGGCTGCCCACAGGGGCCGTCCGCCCTCGGCTGCCTTTCTCCAGGGCTTCCCTGACCGGGGGCCCCTCCTGTCTCCCTCTCTCTTACCCATCTTCCGTGCCTAGGCTCTGGACTCAGTTTCCCACCTGTTTTGTTTTTTCGGCTTTACTTTCTAACTCGAAGTAGGGGTCGCTAGCTTGTTTGTGTAGAGCTGCTTGGATGGTGTATCTACCCCCAACAGATTGTGAGCTCCTTGAAGGCAGGGACTGTTCTTTTCCTCCCCGACGCTATGCACAACGCTTGGCACATCAAAGGCGCTTAATAAAAGCTTGCTGTGCCCGGGATGCACGTGTTCCCACACGTTCGAGTACGGGGATTTGGTTTCTTGTTCCTTTAGCTGCAAACATCATTCCCTGCATCCCTCTGACTCGGTGACTGGTTCCTAGCGGAAGGGCCCCTTCCTGACCAGCATTCTCAAAGTGCTGGCCACGAGAAAGGGACCTAAGTACCTGCGGAGGGAGACCCGGCAGGGCTGGAGAAGCTACAAAGCTTAGGGTGACGAGAAGTTGGGGGGTTGGAAAAGGAAGCACGAAGATGAGGGGGGTGCGGGGCAAAGGAAATGTGAAGTACCACACTACCCCCAACTCTGCTGGGTTAAATAAAATACGCACATCTGGAAGGAAGAGAGATGGAGGAGGGGCCAGACAGGAGGAAGAGAAGAGGGGGTCGGGTACCCGCGGAACCTGCCCATTTCCTGCGCTTTGTTATGGATGCTCCAAAGAGGAGGGGAACACCTTCAGAGACCTTAACCCTTTTGAGTCTTCCTGGAAGGGGAAAAGGGAAGATGGAGGAGGAGGAGGGCCTTGAGCCAGGCTCCCTCTCTCCCCCCACTCTCACCCCTCTGGCACGCGGGGTCGCCCCTAGTTTGGCCCTGAATGCTACTTTAAAGCTCGTTCTCTCCCCTCCCCTCCATCACCTCCAGTAGTAAAGTTTGCTTCCGGGGTGGGGGGAGGCTGGGGGTTCCCCCCACCCCCAGCAGGCACACAGTCTGCTCAGGACAAAGGCAGCACCGGACCTTTCAGCCGTCCGGGCCAGGGGCCGATCGGAGGCGCTCGCAGGCTGCCCGTCCGAGCTCCTGATCAAGGAGGCCCATAGGCTGGAGGGAGGGACGCGGGGAAAGGCAGAGCTGGGCAGGTTTCCGAGGAAACCCGGGAGAGGGGGCTGCCCAGCCTCGGGGGCGGGGGCTGCTCCGAGCCTCCCCGCCGCGCGCCGCGCCCCTATTGGCCGCCTCCGGCCGGGGGCGGGACAGGCCCCATTCACAAAATCCTGGTCCGGCGAGGTCACGTGTCTCGGGGGGAGGGGACGGGGGGGACCTCTAGGCCTCAGTATCTGCAGGCTGCGGAGTGAGACACCACCCCCCTCCCCGCCCCGTGCTCTTCGCCTGGGGCCACGCGGCCTCCTGTAGAGTAAGGGGCAAGGATCTTACCCCGGAAAGGACTGGGTGCGGGCGGAGAGAGTAAGAAGTTCGTCTACACTGCCTCTGGCAGCTCCGTGCATGAGTGCGCACTCCCCTGACCCCTTGGCAGCATCCTGAAGCACCCCAGGGTGCAGGAAAGGGCTGCCCTGGCATTTAAAGAAAGTCGAGAGAGTCGGGTGGGGGCCTGCCGGCAGCCCATTTGGACGGCACAGAGAGGCCCCGAAGTTCCCATTGGGAGCCCGCGGTCTGTTCTTGCCTCTGGCGCTTCCCCTCCTGTTTCTGGTAGCTCGGGAGCGGGCCCTCCATGAGCCCGGCCTTTTTCTAGTCCCTTCTCTGGCACTGAAGGGCACCGAGACGTCCAGGGACCGAAGACATCAGAGAACGCCAAATTAGGGGGTTGTTTTTCAGAAAATGTTGCCATTGTGAGAAAGGCTCCCAGAGACAGCTGTTCTGGCTACGCAGAGGGGCCGCGAGATTGGCCCAAAGTTTCCACTTTTGAAAACGAGTCTTTAAAATTCAGTTCAAAAAATGCCCGTCTTTGTGAATGGGAATTTTCCATTTGGCAGGCTTTCAGTCGCAGTGGCCGTACAAAGATGACTTGCTTGGGTTTTAAAATCACATTTGGGTTGAGAAATACTGGAAAGAAGACACTTTTGAGAGGAAAAAAAATAGCAGGAAAGGGTCATTTCTGGGCCCAGAGGATGAGGAGTCACTTTAGGCTCCAAGGAATTCCGGCAGGACTTGTCCCTCAGCTCCTTCAAGAAGGAAATTAACTTTCTTTGCTCTTGCTTTGTTTGGGTTATTTTGGTTTTGCTATCTTGGACCTGCTCACACAGTACTATCAATGGTATTCACTAGGAAGCCAGAGCATTAGCAAAAAAAAAAAAGTGGGATGCTGAGATTTTTTTTTTCATATTTTTCAATTTTAAGCCAAGTTATATGAATTATTTTTAATGACTAATGAAAATAAAATGCCCATTATTTTGTTCAAAATGGCACAGATCAATAAATGAAGCAATGGATTTTCATTAAAAAAAAATCCATCGACTCAGATAAACTTAGCTCACTTTAGCTGTTACAGAAACCCATATAAGACGGATTTTAGGGAAAAGTGGTGTGGCCCAGGGCTCAGGGCCCCTCTCAAAGATGTTGTCATCTCTGTGTGTGTGTGTGAGTGCCCATCCTCGACCTCTTGCTGATTGAGAAAGTGTTTCCAGTCAACTGTCTTGTCCAGAGACTCTGTTCTGATGTAAAAATAAGGAATATATTACAGGCCTTTGACCCAAGGGCCTCTGAAGTTGTTTAAAAACAGAGAGCACATTTGAAACAATAGCAATGACCATTATTCTGAGAAATTTTACAAAAAAAAAATTTATTCTAAGTGTGGAGAATTCAATTCCACAAATATTCATGAATTATCTGTTATTTTTGAAGCACTACCAATAGAAAGACAAAACCACAGAATGAAGAGAAGTATGACCTGGAGTCTGAGGACCTGGGTTCAAATCCCCCTCTGCCATTTGTTAAAAAAGCAATGTACCCTGGCTTTTGGAAAAATAAGTCTCATTTTCCTCAAATGTCAGATCTTCTGAGGGAGTTAGGACAGATGTCTTCTGAGACTTCGTCCAGCTCTGGATCTATGATCCCAGGAGATGATGCTTCAGTCATGTGATAAGCAGGATGAACACATTGCTTTAAAAAGTCTATCTTAAGAAAATAAATATGTCAGACAAATAACATGAAAAAATATATTTCTGCAAGTGTCCTATTTGAAAGAGCAGGTCTTTGTCTTCTAGTAGAAAACTCAGTGGTCAGAGAACCCTAGAAGAAATACTGCCCCATCACAAGCAGAGTCAAGCTTGAAAAATAGTCCCAAAGTTTATTGAAATTTGTCTCAGCTACATTCTATCACTCCTGCAAAGAAATGTGAGTGTTGGCATCAAGATTTTTCTGTGTCCCTTCAGAAAATTTTGTCCAAATCTCCATGATGAAAGCCCCGATCCCAGAGTGATTATATGATAGCCCCAACCTCACACTCACAAATGGTTATACAATTAATTAGGTAGTCTTGAACAGTCAGGTCAATAAGTGTTTAGTGAGTGTCTACTAGGGGCCAAGCACTGTGAGAAGTGCTGGGGATGGGAAGAAATGCTTAAAATGACCCCTGCCCTAAAGTCCACAGTGTAGCCTCAATGGTGGGGCTCAGTTCCTACCTCCCACTCAGACCAGTGGGCCAGCTCCAAAGAAGGTTAACTTCTTCCCCTCAGATTCTAGGAATAACCCTGAGGAATGAAGGGTTTCTATTCTACTAGTCATGAGGGCCCATCTGTTAAGCGCTTTTATAGAGTTAAACAGTCAGTATTCATTAGCTTTTAGAAAAGTAACAGTAAGAACAGTTGGCACAATTTTTTTTTAATTCCCTCGAATTGTGAAACACTTACAAAATCAAAGATTGCAGGAGAAAGGGAGCTCAAGCTTAGAGTCGTGCAGCGTGTGTGAAGGGGGACAAGGTAAAATGAACCTGGACAGGCCAGGCAAAGCTAGGCTGGGAAGGCCTTTAAATGCAAAACTGACATGTTTATGCTTTGTTACAGAAGAGATACAAGGCAACCCGGGGCTGTGGAAGGGGGAGATGTGCTTTAAGAGGATTATTTGGTCACTGGGGTGTGGGGAGGGGAGAGACCCATAAATGAAGGAAGGATTTTAAATGATTAAATTAGAAGCCCAGAGTTCTGGTAGATGGTTGTCTGGACTAGGGCCGTGGTCAGAGAGGAGAAGGCCTGGAGACATTCTTGTGGGGGGAAGAATGGCAAGAGTTGGTACCTGAGTGGAGTCAGAGAAATGCCCAGTGACTACCTCATGGCCTCCAAGATCCCAGACACGGTAGACATTAGAGCCCCAGGCCTTGGGAGCAGGAGGAGCCCTGGGGCAGCCGCTGCTCCTCTAGCAGTCCACAAAATACAAGTGCTCTTAAAGCTGAAACTTCGAGAGGCAATCCCTTGTTCAAGTCCTTCGCACAGGCTGGAGGCACTCCTCCAGAGGGAAAGGAGACCACCCCAGGTCCCCAGGCTTTGGAACTGCCTCACTAAAGCTGAGGTCCAACCTGCTCCTTGGCTTTCTTTCA